TGCCCTTGCAGAAACCTGGAGAGAGGAGAGGATCGTAATGTATTCTAATGTTTCCTGCTACTCACTGTCAGGAAGTTCTGCTTTACATCTGCCTTGGATTTTTCCTGATATACTTAAGTCCCGTTTTCTCTTAATCTAGCTCCCAGAAACGCTGCAAAAGATATGGACTTCTTGCTCTGTATCACCGTCTCTAAGTGGGGACCATCCTTGAGTCACTTCTCAGCCTTCCTATCCCTAAGTAACAAGAAAAGAAAATGCCAGATAAATTAAAAATACCAACATGCACAAACGTAAAGAGAAAGTTCAAAAAAGATAGTAACAATAGAAATAGGGGAAAGACTCTCACCCCTCCCCACAAAAAGAAAAATGTTAGCACCAAAGAAGGAATTAGAGAGGCTAAAATAGAGGGAGACAGAAAAAGACTATGAAAATATATTAAGATAGGTTTATACGTGGAAAAATGATGAAGAGGTGGGCCTTTAGGGGAGGGGTATGGAAGAAGTACATCAAAAGACACAGACATCAAGAACCCAAAAGTACAGGAAAGAAAAAAAAAATTGAGGACAAGAAAATCAAACATGAAAAGAGACTGAGAGACTGACCAGGCATGCCAGGTGTGCCTCCTTGGTGATGCAGAATCAGAACTAAAGAGCCAGGCACTTGGATGGAACTCCTCCAAGCTCTAGGAATGAGAGTTTGACTTTCTGGTTTGTCTTCTCCCCCCTAACCCTTGGAGACAGGTCTCTGCAAGCCAGACTGGCCCTCTCAGTCACATTCAAGCCATCTGCATCTCAGCCAGGGCCGGGAGGGCAGGCGGACAGAATAAAAGAGCCTGATGGAAACACAGAGGGGAGAGAGGGAGAAACAGAGCAAGGGAGCAGTTAGAGTCAAGAAACAGCGGGAGAAAGAGTCAAGAAATAGAGGGAGAAACAGAGTCAAGATCTGGGACTTCTCCTCTACGGCCACTGTGTGATCTGAACACAGGTGGTCACTGAGGGAGCGTGGGTATGTTCATCTTTGATGGATGCCAACAGAGGCAGGGGCAGCTTCTACCACAAGAGAAGTGTACACAGTTACTGACCTTCATGGGCTTCGGCACACGCTGGTGAGGACATTGGCTGCCCTGATCCTGAGAGGGAGGGATCCACAGACATAGAGCAAAGGTGCAATGAGTTTTGTTGCAAACCAGCTGTTGATTTATAGGGCTAGGAGTTTGGTCTCCTTCTGCCTCCACCCTCCTTCTCCATCTGTCATGGATTGAATTGTGTCCCCCAAAAAATGTGTGTAGCAACTTGGCTGGGTCATGATTCCCAGTATTGTATGATTGTGTTATCTGATGTGATTTCCCTATGTGTTGTAAACTCTATCGCTATGATGAGATTATATGTGATCTTCTTATGTGTTGTAAATTCTATCACTGTGATGAGGTTATATTGATGAGGTTGACAAGATCAGTGTCTTAATGCAATCTCTTTTGAGATATAAAAGAGAAGCAAGCAGAGACACATGGGAACCTCATACCACCAAGAAAGCAGTGCTGGGAGCAGAGTGCGTCCTTTGGACCTGAGGTTCCTGTGCAGAGAAGCTCCCAGACCAAAGGAAGACTGATGACACGGACTTTGCTCCAGAGCCAAGACAGAAAGTGTTCCCCTGGAGCTGATGCCCTGAATTTGGACTTGTAGCCTACTGGACTGTGAGAGAATAAATTTCTCTTTGTTAAAACCATCCACTTGTGGTATTTCTGTTGGAGCAGCACTAGATGACTGAGACACCATCCCTCTCATTTACACACACACACACACACACACACACACACACACACACAAAGGCAGGCATGAGCTCCTAACTGGTTACTGTTGGGAGCCTACTGTAATAAGGCCAACAATCTATTCTTGAAGCCTGACCACTCTAACTGGATCCCCAGAGGTAGTCTTGTACTAGTCCATTCCAAGGCTCTTTTGGGAGGCGATGTCCATGGCAAGCAGCCCTGGAAGGTCTGGATTAGTCCTAGTTTTTCCCAGGAAAGTCTTATCCCTTTTACCGGATGACTTGGTAGATAAGGGGACCTGACATGTATCACAATCCCTGTGCTGTCAACTTCAAATCTGGGAATGTTTTCCTCGTATCCACCTATTTCTCAATTTTATTTTGCATTAATTTTCTAGTTAGAGTTTCTTCTGACATAATGACCACTTCTTGCATCCCCAATTCAATAGTTTTTCGTATCATTATAGTATGCTCAACACAACAATAAATATTGACAGAGCACCCACTCTGTGGTGGGTAGCATATTAAGTGTTGGTGATAGGGTGGTAAACAGACAAAACCTCTCCCTGATGGAGTGGACATGTTTGGTAACCTAACCTTCATCTCTGCCTGTTAATTTGCAATTCAATTCTTCAAACCTGGAATATCTTTTTTCCCCGATTTACCAACTGTTCTTCCAAAATCCTGCACAGGACTGAATGATCTGCCACTTAGTTTCTGCATAACCCAAAGAATTTGTAGTTCTCTTACCCCCTCAATCCTCTGTAACTCATTTTTCTACTTCTGGAATGCTTGGACTCCTGTAAAGTTGAAGTTTATGATGCTTATATTCTGGCTCATTCTAAATATGGTGGGATAGCTTTTTCTCTTTATTCTACCATACATCTCCACCACCATCTACAAGTCTGGGTCTTACCAAAACTAATACAACAGATTAGAGCATTTTTGTTACATAAATCAGCTTGGGTGATAGCACTCTTTTAGTATAAGAAGGCACAAAATCTAAGCTTCAGGAAATTAACCTTTGCAGTAGAAGACGTCTGATGATCTTTGAGATATCCCCTCAAATGCTCCTGAAATAAATAAATAAATAAAGCAAACTCTTCGAGCACTTTAGAAGCATCTATTTCTATACAATTAATTGATATGCTTAGTAGGAAGATTTTTGGTCTGCTTACTTTTCTGTAACTTCTGGTCCACAGCATTTTATTGACAGGATTCTGACCCAAACATGACGTGCAATTCAAATTTGTTCCAAATGATATTCTTTTAGTAGAAACTATTGTATTCTAAGGAGAATGCTTCTTAGAAGCTAGGATGGCAAGACTTCATCTGATGTACCTTGGACATGTTATTAGGAAAGACCAGTCCCCGGAGAAGAACATCATGCTTGGTAAAGTAGGGGATCAGCAAAAAAGAGGAAGACCCTCAATGAGATGGATTGAGCAGTGGCTGCAACAATGGGCTTAAGCATAACAACGATTGTGAGGATGGCGCAGGACTGGGCAGTGTTTCATTCTGTTTTACGTAGGGTCATTATGAGTTGGAACCGATTCAACGGCACCTAACAACAATAACATTCCCACAAGGGACACAGGTTCCCAAAGATCACACAGAATGGTATTTGGAGGAGATCCTCTGCAGAAGAGCAGGGGTGAAGAGAGGTAGGACTGAATCAGACTGGAATGTGAAATTGATGGGACAAGAGAAGGATGACTGCTGGGTGGATGAGGTTTTGTTTGAAGTAACAGACATAAAGGTAGAATTCAAGTAGGAGTCCATGCTAGTGGCAGAGGGATGGACATGGTTGGGCAGGAAAAGTTCTATTAATTGTAGGAGTAGGATCAGACAGAGACAAACACAAAAACTTTAGAGAAGGTTTTATCACTACTTAAAAAGAACATTGTTTGCCATGGCAATGCCAGCATAAATCCTGCCCACAGTTAACCCGAAGGTGGCTTGCAGATGGAATTCTGCAATCTATTTTCTTTTTGGTTTCCTTCTGTTGCCTCTCTCCTCCCTATTAATACCTCCTGTCATCTTCCTGTTTCTGCCCCTTTAATACTTCTTTCTCCAGGCCAGGGTTTCTCAACCTTGACACCATTGACATTTTGTGGCAAATAATTCTTTGTTGTGGGGGACTGTCTTGTGCATTGTAGCTGCATCCCTGGCCTCTACCCACTAGATGCCAGTAGCGTACTCCCTCCCTAAATTGTGATCATCAAAAATGTCTTCAGACATTACCAAATATCACCTTGGAGGCAAAATCGTCCCCTGTTGAAAACCACTGCTCTAGATGATAGGTAAAAGAACAGAGGTAGGGGAGAAAGTTAGAGATGTGAGTAGAGAGTCTCAGGGAATGTGAGTGTATTGTAAGTAAAACAAGAGACAGAAAATAATCTCTATACATATGTATGGTATGGTTAAATTGCACAACATGTATCCAGGCTAGTGACAAAATATTCAAGTGGATGCAAATACATGTGCAGATAGTAGTATAAAGTGCTCTTGTTATATTCTTATACAATGCAGATGTCACTCGAAGCTTCCCTGACCCTGGAGATTTTGTTATACAGCTTCCACATCCAATTTACAACCCGGAGAAGTCAGTGCTCTCCTCATGCTTTTTCTCTTGCTTCTGTCCTCCTTCCTCCCCATTAATCCACATATATTTGGTAGACAATTCCTCCCCTTGCTGGCTTTGGGAGCTTTCTTGAAGAATTTGGGACCACCATACAGAGATGATATCACACACCTCACAGCATATTTCTCTAGCCTACCGCTCTTTTCCTGACTTCCATGCATCCCTTTGTTTCCCTTGTAGCCCTCAGTCTGCTCCTTTCCCCAAACCAGAGCTCCCACTAATTGACTTTACCTGGGAAGTGGTCCTCTAGAAAAAAAATGGTCTGGTCATCCTTTTCAATGGTTTTCTCTTGAGAAGTAGCCTTCTTTTATCCAAATTCTGGAATGAAATTCCCTATTTCATTATACTTGTCACTCTAATCATGAAAATGTATTATTAAGAGAAGGTTGGAAAGCTCAATCTATGCTTGAAGTGAAGTCAGAGAGATGAGCATTAGACATCAGAAGGTACTTCCAGGTCTGATGCTGGAACAAAGGAAGCCATGAATGCTCTTGCCTGGAGCTTTTCAGCACTGGAGAGTGATCCACCTGCCAGGGCTGGGGGAGGGGTCACACCTTAGGGGAAATGCTTCCCCCCAGGATGTTTCCTGTTACACAGACACTGCCTGGGCCAGGCTGGTCCTTCCCAGGGCTCTCACCATGGCCCCCTTCATTTCCTTGTTGCGGGAACTGTAGATGATGGGGTTGCACATGGGGGTGATGATGGTGTAGAAGAGGGAGAAAGGCTTGTCCTTGTCAGGCCCATGTGTGCTGCGGGGGTTCATGTAAGACAACATGGCCGAGGTATAGAAGAAGACAACCACAGTCAGGTGGGAGGCACAAGTGGAGAAGGTCTTCCCTCGACCCGAGGAAGGGGTTCTGCCGAGGATGGAGGCCAGGATGGGGACATAGGAGACGACAATGAGCACCATGGGGCTGAGCAGCACCACAATGGCGTCGGCAAAGATAACCTTCATGCTGAACTGAGTGTCCCCACAGGAGAGGGTGATCACTATGGGAGCCTCACAGAAGAAGTTTTCTATATGGTTGTCTCTACAAAATGGACCATGAAAAGTCATATAATCAAGAAGGATACCATTGATCAGCCCGAAAAACCAGGCAGTACCCACCAGCCTCACACAGACCTGCTGGCTCATTATCTGGGCATAGCTAAGTGGATGGCAGATAGCAACATAACGGTCATAGGCCATAAAAGCCAAGAGGATGCACTCAGCCACACCCACACCAAAAACCAGGTACATCTGGGTCAAGCAAGAGGCAAAGGAGACAGTGTGGTTCTTGACCACCAGGTGGATCAGCATCTGTGGGATGGTGGTGGTGATGAAACAGACATCCAGGAAGGACACATGGCCAAGGAAGAAGTACATGGGGCTGTTGAGCCTGGGGTCTGTCCAAGTGATGAAGATGATGAGGCTGTTCATGGCCATGGCCAGACTGTAGAGGACTAGGAAGAGAGCAAAGAACAATGCCTGAGTGGAAGGGGAGCTCTGCTCAAAGCCCACGAGGATAAAGGCTGTCACTGTGCTGCCATTCCTGAAGTCCATCATCTGGGGCCTGTTGAAGAGAAAGAACAGGAAAAGCACAGGGGAGATAACTTTGCTTAGGTGCTCCCTTGGTTGACTCACTTGCATAAACACAGATTGAAAACGAGTGGAGGAACAAGATAGGAATTTCAGTAAAAACTCCATGTGAGTTAAAAGTGTCATGGGCACTGAAAATGCCAGTGCTGTTGCATACTGCTACAATAGAACCATATTATAAAACAAAGGAGGTTCTATTGTAGTTTGGGTCAATATTGTATCCAGTGAGTAAGTAGTAAAGCTCAAATTCAAATCCAGGGAGTCTGATTCAAGAAGTTGCATTGTCACCCACTACCCCTACACCACTTCAGGCTTTTGGATGCTCTACAAGTACTAGCCGAAGCATCTAGACAAATGAATTAAATGAGTGGTGTGCTAGTAAGTGTTCATCAAAGACTCTGGGAGAGGAGGACCTGATTTGTAGCATTTGCCAATTTCCATGGTGTAAATACTCCCACCATGACCTATTTCAGATTTAAAACTACCAATGTGACATTGTTAGTTAACATGGAGTTGAGAAGGGATGCACGGTAGCCCGCCAGTATGTAGTTTTTCCAACCATACAGATACAATAGATGTAAACAACCTTGACAGCATAGGTAATAGTAAAATGTAGTGAAAAAATTAAGAAGTGATGAATTTTGATTATTATTACCTTTGTTTTAAAATGTAATTTATTTAGCTATAAGTTTATATAATTTGTTAATAATGACTGTGTTTAACAACGAATTCTCAAAACTCCTGGCAAAATTTAACAATTGAATCTTGAGAGCTGATAACAGCTAACTCCAGCACACCAGTGGAATATAAAAAAAAAGGCAGAATTATCGTTATTTACAGATGATATTTCTGGGAGTAGGGTGCATTTCTGCCTGTGTCCTCATATTTCTGCCTCAGTTCATAGGGAGGCCAGAACTTCTACCAAAACTTCTCCCATCATGAGGGAGTAACGTTGCAGAAAACCCATCTGACCCCACTGTCCACCTCTGCCCTAGAAATAATCTATATATCCCTCAATCACTGGATACGTATATTATGGTACATACAAACAATGGGACAATCTCGTGGAAATCATGTCTTACCTCATTCTGTTGCTATGCTTGAGAGTGGTGGTCTATTTGTCATCAGCTCACTGCAACAGGTAAGAGAGATGATTTCATGGAGCCTGAGGAAGAGCTATCTCAGAGAGGGCAGTTTGATGTTGGGGTCCACTCTGAAAGAAAAGAAAGGAAAGATGACTACCAGCTGAACGCTTAGTGGTTTGAACATACCCAGAGGTACCTCAGAAGACAGTCCTGGCAATCTGCTTCTGAAAGGCCACAGCCTTGAAAACTATATGGAGCAGTCTACTCTGCACACATGGGGCCACCATGAGTTGGAATTAATTTGATGGCAACTAATAACAAAATAGTTTACAAAGATTATTCATATAAATTATCCCGTTGACCCTTACAACAACCCTATGAAATAGAAGCTATGTCCATTTTACAAATGTGGAAACCGAGGCTTAGAGAGTTTGCTCAAGGTCACACAGCTGGTAAATGAAAGTAATGCGACTCAGACCAGGCCTTCTAAGTCCTTAGAGTACTTTTTCCACTATACCAAGGTGCCTAGGGCAGAGATGCCACTATCTCCTAAGGTAGGTTATACCATTAATTGATGTCCCATGTAGTCAGAAATGTATATATATATATATACATTATAATACAAATTTCCTTATAGTTATATCCTTCATTCTTTGAATTTAATTCATGGTAAAGAAAGGTGACTTATTCTGAAGATGGGACATCCCTTTGAGAGCTGAAGACACTCATTAGCCATGTTAGCTTTTTTCCTCAGGCTAAATATTCACAGGCCCTTTTACCATGTCTTGCTGTCCTTATTTCCTTATTAACCTTAAATTTTCCAGGAATTAAGAGAAGGATAAAAAATAAAAAAGAAATTGATTGGAGACATGGAGGAGGGTATAATAAGAACAACTAAATAAGCATGCCCACAGGCATCTATCTGTCAGTTTGTCCTACTATGAGGCCTTGTGTGTTGCTGTGATGCTGGAAGCTATGCCACCAGTATTCAAATACCAGCAGGGTCACCCATGGCAGACAGCTTTCAGCTGAGCTTCCAGAATAAGACAGACTAGGAAGAAGGAACTGGCAGTCTACTTCTGAAAAGAATTAGCCAGTGAAAACCTTACAAATACCAGCAGAACATTGTCTGATATAGTGCCAGAAGATGACTCCCTCAGGTTGGAAGGCACTCACAAGACAACTGGGGAAGATCTACCTCCTCAACATAGAGTCGAACGTAATGACTCCTCAAAGTGGAGTAAAGCTTTCAGGACCTTCATTTGCTGATGTGGCACGACTCAGAATGAGAAGAAACAGCTGCAAACATCCACTAATAATAGGAATGTGGAATGTACGAAATATGAATCTAGGAAAATTGGAAATTGTAAAAAATGAAATGGAACGCATAAACATTGATATCCTAGGCATTAGTGAGCTGAATGAACTGGTGTTGGCCATTTTGAATCGGACAATCATATGGTCTACTATGCCTGGAATGACAACTTGAAGAGGAATGGCACTGCATTCATCTTCAAAAAGAACATTTCAAGATTTGTCTTGAAGTTCAGCTCTGTCAGTGATAGGAAAATATCCATATGCCTACAAGAAAGACCAGTTAGTATGACTACTGTTCAAATTTACGCACCAACCACTAAGGCCAAAGATGAATAAATTGAAGATTTTTACCAACTTCTGCAGTCTGAAATTCATCAAACATGCAATCAGGATGCATTGATAATTACTGGTGATTGGAATGCGTAAGTTGGAAACAAAGAAGAAGGATCACTAGTTGGAAAATATGGTCTTGGTGATAGAAATGATGCCGGAGATCGCATGGTAGAATTTTGCAAGACCAACGATTTCTTCATTGCAAATACCTTTTTTCACCAACATAAATGGTGACTATACATGTGGACCTTGCCAGATGGAATACACAGGAATCAAATCGACTACAACTGTGGAAAGAGATGGTGGGAAAGCTCAATATCATTAGTCAGAACAAGGCCAGGGGCCGACTGCAGAACAGACCATCAATTGCTCATATGCAAGTTTAAGATGAAACTGAAGGAACTTAGAACAAGTCCACAGGAGTCAAAGTACAACCTTGAGTATACCCCACGGGAATTTAGAGACCATTTCAAGAATAGATTTGATGCATTAAACACTAATGACTGAAGATCAGATGAGTTGTGGAATGACATCTAGGGCATCATACATGAAGAAAGAAAGAGGTCATTGAAAAGACAGAAAATAAAGAAAACACTAAAATGGATGTCAGAAGAAACTCTGAAACTTGTTCTTGAATGTAGAGTAGCTAAAGGGAACAGAAGAAATGATGAAGTAAAAGAGCTGACCAGAAGATTTCAAAAGTCGGCTCGAGAAGACAAAGTATTATAATGACATGTGCAAAGACCTGGAGTTAGAAAATCAAAAGGGAAACATGCTCAGCATTTCTCAAGCTGAAGTAACTAAAGAAAAAAAATTCAAGCCTCTAGTTACAATATTAAAGGATTCTATGGGGAAAATACTAAAAGACGAAGGAAGAAAATGGAAGAAATGCACAGAGTCACTATGTCAAAGAATTGGTCAACGTTCAACCATTTTAGGAGGCAGCATATGATCAGGAACCAATGGTACTGAAGGAAGAAATCCACACTGCACTGAAGACATTGGCGAAAAACAAGGGTCCAGGAACTGATGAAATTCCAATTGAGGTGTTTCAACAAATGGATGCAGTGCCGGAAGTGCTTACTCGTTTATGCCAAGAAATTTGGAAGACAGCTACCTGGCCAACTGACTGGAAGAGATCCATATTTATGCCTATTCCAAAGAAAGGTGATCCAACTGAATGCGGAATTTATCAAACAATATCATTAATATAACATGCAAGTAAAGTTTTGCTGGAGATCATTCAAAAGCAGCTGCAGCAGTACATCGACAGGGAACTGCCAGAAATTCAAGCCAGATTCAGAAGAGGATGTGGAATCAGGGAGCTCAGATGGATCCTGGCTGAAAGCAGAGAATACCAGAAAGATGTTGACCTGTGTTTTATTGGCTGTGCAAAGGTATCCAACTGTGTGGATCATAACAAATTATGGATAACATTGGGAAGACTGGGAGTCCCAGAAAACTTAATTGTTCTATGATGAATGTGTACATAGATCAAGAGGCAGTCATTTCAACAGGACAAAGGGATACTGCGTGGTTTAAAGTCAGGAAAGGTGTGCTTCAGGGTTGTATCCTTTCACTGTACTTATTCAATCTGTATGCTGAGCAAATAATCTGAGAATCTGGACTATATGAAGAGGAACACAGCATCAGGATTGGAGGAAGACTCATTTACAACCTGCGTCATGCAGATGACACAATCTTGCTTGCTGAAAGTGAAGAGGACTTGAAGCACTTGCTGCTGAAGATCAAAGGCGCCAGTCTTCAGTATGGACTACACCTCAAAATAAAGAAAACAAAAATCCTCACAACTGGACCAATAGGCAACATCATGATAAAGCAAGAAAGGATTGAAGTTGTCAAGTATTTCATTTGACTTGGATCCACAATCAGCATGCATGGAAGCAGCAGTCGAGAAATCAAACGATACATTGCACTGGGCAAATCTGCTGCAAAAGACTTTTTTAAGTGTTAAAAAACAAAGATGTCACCTTGAAGACTAAGGTGCAGCCTACCCAAGTCATGGTGTTTTCAATCACCTCATATGCATGTGAAAGCTGGACAATAAATAAGGAAGACCAAAGAACTGACACCTTTGTTTTATGGTGCTGGTGAAGAATATTGAATATACCATGGATTGCCAAAAGAACGAACGTATCTGTTTTGGAAGAAGTGTGGCCATAATGCTCCTTAGAAGCAAAGATGGTGAGACTACGTCTCACGTACTTCAGA